CAGTAAATGAACATACTTTCCAGAAGGCCAGCAATTCACTAAAAATGTTTTTTTTATAGGTCTTATGAGGCATTCTAATTTATTGAGATAGTGATTTGGTGGGTTTTTGTAAAATGTGAGCAAAATCATCACAATTAAAAGACCCAACAGCTTAAACTACTTCAGTCTGTGTGTACTGAATTTATATAATACACGAGTTTCACTATTTGAGTTGAATTACTGAAATAAATAGACTTTTCCACAATATTCTAATTTATTGAGCTGCAGCTGTATTTGCCTGATCTTTTAATTATTCATACCCCGGTCAGAGCACTGCGTTCCTCTGAGCACTTGTCTCTGGTTGTCCCGCAGGCAAGGTACAAAAAGTGGGGTGATCGTTCTTTTGTCATATATGCCCCCAAGCTCTGGAATACCCTGCCGCCTGAGCTTTGGTGTATAACTGAGTTAATGGTTTTTAAGTCTAAATTAAAGTCACACCTATTCAGACTGGCTTTTGACACTTAATTTTTAGCAGTGGCACTATACAGGTGCTTACAGGCTGATTTTATATTCTGTAATCTTATTCTGTTTGTACTTTGACTCATTTTTATTGTGCAGGAGTGTTATAGTTGCTCATAGACCGTGGTTTTAAATTTGTGTAATTTTAACTTTTCTTTTTTGTTATTTATGTGTCTTAACATGTTCTGCTTTTATTTCTATATGCTCTGTTGTGAAGCACTTTGAGCTCCCTTCGGTGTTGTAAAGCGCTATATAAACGAATAAATTATTATTATTATTCTCGCTTTCCCTCATGTCTAGCCTGGCATACATCTCATCATATGCTTTCTGTTTGGCCATTGCCACCTCCCTGTTCACTCTGCGCTGCGATTCCTTGTAATCCTGTCTACTTTCTTCAGTCCTTTCTACCTCCTACTGCCTTTTAGCTAGCCTCTTCCTCGTTCCACCACCATGTTTCCTTATCGTCTTTCCTCCTTCCAGATGACACACCTAGCACCTTCCTATCTGTCTCCCTGATCACTTCTGCTGTAGTTTCCCAGTCTCAACTTCTGTCTGAATTCCTCACAACATTCTTCCTTTTTCAAATTCCACCACTTGGTCTTCTTTTCTATCTTTCCTCTCCTCTTCCTAACCACCAGAGTCATCCTACACACCACCATCCGATGCTGTATGGCTACATTCTCTCCCACCCCTAATTTGCCAGCACTAA